CCCCCCCCCCCCCCCCCCCCCGCAACACACGCAAGATCACAGAGGGAGCGACACTTGAATGTAGAACAGGGAGGGAGCCCTGGCCCTGCCCCCTGGGCAGAACCTCTTCTGCCCTCACTGACCGTGGGGAGGGGACCTAGAAGGAGAGTTCTTGGCTGTCCTTGGCTTTCTCAGAGCCAACCTAGCTCTGCCTCCTCCCCCGAGGGTAGGTCCTGAGGCCCAGTCTAGAAGTTGAGGCCGGTTCCAGGGAACCTCTCCTGACCCCTGCCGCTTGGCGGTTCACTTTTCCAGTCCCTGTCCCCTTCCATGGTACTGTAGCGGGAGGCTCCCTCCCCCTCCTTGTGCCTTCTTTGTATATAGGCTTCTCAGGCGACCAATAAACAGCTCCCAGTTTTTATGCACTGCATCGGCCTCCATTCACCCCCACCCTGTACCAACCCCAGTTCGGTCTGTTGGATAATGATGTCATCTAGCTGACCCCTGGGCGGACAAAGCCAGGTGCGGGGAGGGATCTTAGAGGTGGGGAGGGGGACATACCAGCCCCTGCTCTCAGTGATGTGCTGGTCTAAGGGATGGTCGTGGACATATAACTGAGATCCAGAACCTAAAGTCAGGGAGGGGACCTGAGTAGACTGGATAGAATCCCAAATGGCTTCTTGGTGCACAGTGTGCTGGCCCTGGGGAGGGAGGAGGGAGGGAGAGGTGGTGATGTGCAGGGTCCGGAAGAGGCAGAAAGCTACTCTGCTGTATAGAAACAGGTAGTCCTGGATACTGGTGCAGGGAGGCTGAGTGCAAGGGCGGAGAGCCAAGAACCTTCATCCAGTGGCTGGGTTCAGTAAGAACCTGCTTTTCTGCAATTGCACCCAAACCCCCACCCCTAGGCACCATGTTGAGTAGATCAGAGGGCGAACCAGGGACCCAAGACTGGAAAGACGGAAAGGTCCTAGTATCTATTGCGCAGACTCTGGGCAGGGGTACCTACAGTCCTAGTCTTGTGGTCACTGCTCCAGGGCTGCTTCGGTACTGAGCCCCCTTGGCCCACATTATTGGGCCAAGCTCTCCCTAAGGCCCCCTTTCCATACGAGCCTGGGAGGACTGGGAGGACGGAGCTTTCCCCATGACTTCTTTGTCCTGAATTGTGGTTTGGGTCCTTCCGTCAATCGTCCTCAAAGCTATGGCCTTTGGAAGATTTCCCCAGAGGCTGAAAATTACTACTCAGTGAAGCCTAGAGGCAGATCCTCTATTCAGCCGCTCTGAGAGCCCACAAACCCAGGCTTTTCTCCCAGGACCCCCTGCTGATGTCTGCCTGGGTGTCTCCCAGCCTGCCTCACTGACTGCCCCTCACTTTCTGGGCTGGGATTGCCCCTTTCCGGGATGATTGACAGTGGAAGCTCCACTTCCTCCAGGAAAACCCCAGCCACTACCCAAAGCTCTCAGAACGAATAATAATCGGAACCTCCAGTTCATTTTTCAAAACCTGGGTTATTCGCTCAGTCTGGAGTAACACCACGCGTGGGGTGGCAAAGTCCAGCTGCAGAGCTCAGTCCGGCTCACTCCTGTCTTTTGCAGACACTTTCTACTTATGAAAAAAGGTGGGGTCTAGGGATCTACGCTTTCCTCTGGCCACCTTCACAGGCTCAGCCCCCAGTCTCATATATGTGTGTGTGTATGTGTGTGTGTGTATGACAGACTGTTTATGCTTGGATGAGAACACAGTCTTTCTCTGTCTCTGTCTCTGTCTCTCTCTGTCTCTCTCTCTCTCTCTCTCTCACACACACACACACACCCACACACACACACACCACAGTGTAAGTAGTCATTTTCAGGACTGGTGCTACACTTTTATGAAAGAAACATCATGGTAGAGAGGCGGCAATACCCACTTTATATAAAAGGGTCCTCGATCATGTCAAGCTTCTGGAGATCCTTGGAGTTGTAGCACCTCCAAACTGTTCCCCAAGAGGGTCTCGGCTTTTGTGTCACTAGAAGGACCCATAAGGTGATTCTCCCCCTTTGGGCACATGGCTGGATGGCACTTCCTGGGCCTTCCGGGTTGGATGAGGTCATGTGACTAATATTGGCCAGTGAGTTGTGAGCAGAAGGGAAGCGGATCGATTCTGGGCTGAGAGAGTTAATTGCTGGGCGAGGCCCTCCCGGGCTTTCCCTCCTCTGCTGCTGCTGCTGCGGCTGCTGCTGCTGCTGCTGTAGAAGCCTGGATTGAGAGCCCCCCCCTCCCCACCCCCCACCAACCTGCATTGTATATATAGTGGGAAATCTGGGCATGGTGTGGGTGGAGGTTACCTCAGCATCACCTAAACCTAGCTTGACCACACCATGCCACTCCCGTTATCACCCTGCAGCAAGCTTTGCAGACCTAAGCACAGAGGCCACATTACAGAAGTCCAGCACTTGGGGCGCCTGGGTGGCTCAGTCGGTTAAGCGTCCGACTTCGGCTCAGGTCATGATCTCGCAGTCCGTGAGTTCGAGCCCCGCGTCGGGCTCTGGGCTGACAGCTCGGAGCCTGGAGCCTGTTTCAGATTCTGTGTCTCCCTCTCTCTCTGACCCTCCCCCGTTCATGCTCTGTCTCTCTCTGTCTCAAAAATAAATAAACGTTAAAAAAAAATTTCAGAAGTCCAGCACTAACGAGAGGATCACGGGAAATCTCTCTCCTACACCTAGCCTCAGGGCTTACAGCCTTCTCATTATTACTTAAATTTTGACAATAATAGTAATAGCTGCTATTTACTGATTATTTACTATGTGCCAGGCCCAGGGCCGGGCTTTTTTTTTTTTTTTTTAAGTTTTTTTTTAATGTTTATTTATTTTTGAGACAGAGAGAGACAGAGCATGAACGGGGGAGGGTCAGAGAGAGAGGAGACACAGAATCTGAAACAGGCTCCAGGCTCCGAGCTGTCAGCCCAGAGCCCGACGCGGGGCTCGAACTCACGGACCGCGAGATCGTGACCTGAGCCGAAGTCGGACGCTTAACCGACTGAGCCACCCAGGCGCCCCCAGAGCCGGGCTTTTTACATGTAGTATGCCACATACTCTTCCTGGCATCTTGAGGACTGCACTCACCAACATCATCAATGACGTAATTGCCAGCTGGAAGGATGTTTCGTTGTTCCTCCCTGGTGCCTCTGTGGCATGTCTCCGTGGTGACCCCAATTCTATTTTCACATTCTTTTCCCTTCTGTGTGCCAGGTGCTATACCTGGGGCTGGAGATCGAGCAGTGAATTACACAGACACAGACATCCCTGCCCTCCTGAATCTTCAAGTCTAGTGGGGGAGACAGAGGAGTCAGCCGACGATTGTGCTAAGGTTGGGAGGTCCAAGGAGCCCTTGGAGGGAACCCATAACCCAGCCTGGTAGGGTCACAGAGACTTGAAGAAGGAGCAGGTGGTGAGAAAAAAGAATGATCTCGGCAGAAGAGACAGCCTTTGTAACGTCTTGGAGATTGGAGGCTGGTTCAAGGCAGTAGATGATTATGGCTGGGAGTTAAGCAGGGGAATATGGAGAGATGAACCTGGAGAGTTAAGCCAAAGCACATCATGCAGCAGCAGGAAAGGCACCAGTAAGAAGTGGAGTGCCACTGAAAGGCCGTGAGCAAGGGAGGTAACAAGTCCATGGCCAGCTCAGTTGGAAGAGCATGGGACTCTTGATCTCCGGGCAGTGAGTTTGAGCCCCGTGTTGGGTGCAGAGGTGTCTTCAATAAATAAAACTAAAAAAACAAACAAAAACAACAACAGAAAACAAGTTCAGATTTGCATTTGAGAATGATCCCAGAGCCTCAGTTTCCTCATTTATATAATGGGGACAATAACAGCACAATCGAGCCATCTGGAGAATTAAATAAAATAACGCATGCAAACAGTGCCCGGCACATAGGTTATTATTATTCGTTCAGCTAAGAGTCCCTGCCATTGTGAAGCCTTCCACATAGCTCGGTGGTGACTGTAATACATTGTTATACAGCAACTACTTACTTAAGCAGCTACCTCCCAAACTGAGAAATGAACCGATCAAGGGGAAAGACTACGTCTTTATTCTTTCTGTGTTTCCTGTTCCCAGCACAAAGCCCAGAGCCTATTGGGCACTTGGTCAGTGGGGCCCAAGAACTGAACAGTGAAAGAGTGAAAACATCAAAGGGGCAAGGCGGGGTCAGGACGTACCACCACGAGAGGGGGCGCCAAGTTCTTATGAGAGCTCCGGGCTACTGGGGAAGGGAGGGCTCCCCAATCCTCAGCACAGATCACCTGCCAGGACCTTTCTCTAAGGAAGCCCAGGGCGAAGATGGTCGCTTTCTCAAGTCAAATGAGTAGAGAATAATAAAATAAGTGTTTTGTAAACTGCACTCATAGCGCCGATGCTAGCGGCTGCCTCCGCCGCCGCCAGTCGTTAGGGTTTTGACTCTGGGTGTCGCCTTTTCCCGAGCCGCTTGGATCTGTGTGGAAGCGGGTGGGGGCAAATCTGTATGAGGGGTGAGCATGGGCTTGCATCTTGATCCCGAAGTTTGCAAACATTTCCAGTCTAAATCACTGTCATCCGGACTGGGAACCCACCAGACCGTCCCCCTCGGGGAGCGCAAATGCGGGTCCGGGCGGGTGAAACAGGTCCCTTTGGGAGGGAAGGGATTCGTTGAAAACTATCCGGATAATTTCAGGGAAGGCGAGCGAAGGAGATTCGGGGAGAGCGCGGGAAAGGAAGTGGAAAGGAGGAATAACGGACCTCTGGGGAGGCAGGGGTTAAGCGGGGCTTGGCCCGGAGGAGGAAAGGGCGGAACGAACGCTCGGGGGGCGGGCCCTCGGTGCTACCCAAGAAAACAACGGGCCTCGCCGGGCGTGGACGGGTTAAGGGGGCGGGTCCAGGGGAAGCCACGTGCCGGGGCAAGAGGCGATTGGCTCTGCCGGGGTTGTTTGTGAGCGGCCATTGGCGACGTCAGAGCACCTCGACGAGCCGATTGGCCGGGGCTTGGAGGACTGCCGGGACCGGGGCGGGGAGGAGACCGCGGGCCCCAGTCCCTGGGCCGGGCTGGGCCGCCGCTAGAGCCAGCGCTGACCGCGGAGGGACTGGAGCCCGAGCCCGAGCAGCGGCCGCTGCCGCCGCAGCCGCCGCCGCCGCCGCCACCATGCGCTGGGTCCGCGCGCTGCTGAAAAATGCGTCCCTGGCAGGGGCGCCCAAGTACATCGAACACTTCAGCAAGTTCTCCCCGTCCCCGCTGTCCATGAAGCAGTTTCTGGACTTCGGTACGGAGTGCGCGGGGGGCGGCTGGCCGCGGGGGCCCGCGGGGCGCCGGGGGGCGGTAAGCGAAGAGGCCCTGGTCATGAAGGATCAATGCGGAGAAGAAAGGCCCTGCGTGACAGCGAAGGGTTGCTTGGAAGGGTACCAGGCAGGAAAGGGTTAAAGGGAGGGGGCCGGGACTGGCCCTGAAAGGGTTAAGGTGCCCTGGGGAAGAGCTCTGGACTAGGTCGTTAATGGGAAGTGGGAGCACTGACAAGGAGGGGTTCAGGTGTCTTGTTGGGCTTTGCGAGAGGTCTTGGAGTAAGGGGCAATGAGGCGATGATGTTAGGGCAGGAAGGGAGTGGCATATATCCAGACAGAAAGGGTTAACGATGGTTGCCCTAGTGGCTCAAAGGGTAGGAGTTGGAGAGGAAATAGGGCGGGGATGTTGGTGGCAGTAACAAGGCAGGATTGGGAGGTGCAACCATCTGGAAGAAGACCTGGGCTGGGCTGGGCACCCTGGGGTCAGGTGGGGCCCAGGCTCTTTCAGAAAGTGTCAACAGGAGGGAGGTCGCTGGTCCCTATGCCTCTACCCGCTGAAGGAGCTGGCCCCCAGCTGTCCCAGTGGGCAAGGACACTTGAAGAGCAAATCTGTTTGGGCCTGGCTCCCTGTCCCCAACCGGGCCAAGGCCTGGGGCACCATGAGGTGGAGTCAGGAGGCTTGCAACCTTGGCTGTCCCTAGGTTTCTGGGCCAGGATCACCCACCAGCAGCGCGCTGGGGGTGCCTCTGGAGCAGAAGCAAAGCTGTGCCAGTGTGGCGACTGAAACAGGCATTGTGTGGGCCCTGTCTGTCTACATGTATTTCCGTGGTGCCAGCTGGGGATTAGGAGGGGATGCCCAGGTCTCTCAAGAGTTGAAGAGACAGTGCCTGGCTCGAGTTACAGCTGCGTCACCGATGGGAGGCGTGGGGAGGTGGCAGCCAGGACACAGGGCCCCTGTTCCCCAGGACTTGTCTGCCTGTCCCCCTGCCCTGTTCGAGCTGTCTCCGTGTAGGAAAGCCTCCTGGGCCCATTCCCAGCCACCAGCAGTTGTCCGGTCCAAACTGGACCCCAGTTATAGAAATGGGCTAGGTGGGGCTCATAGTAGGGTTGGGTCCACTTGTAGTGCAGTGGGGGAAACAGATCTTCAGAAGGACGGTGACATGCCCTTGGTGGCAGAGTTGGGAGCAGAACTTAGACTCGAATCTAGGTCTTCTGACCCTAGGCCATGGCCTTAGTCTATCACTTGGTCTTCATCTTGAAGCCAGACCAAGGATCAAGTATTTGGGTTCCCAAGCCTGGGCCCTGTTTGCCCCACAGGCAGGCATTAATGCAGGAGCAACTCTACAGTGGTCATCAAGACCAGCCTAGGTGAGGACGGACTGGGCCCACAATGACGCTGGGCCCCTGCAGCTGCGATGGGCCAGTGTTAGCTCCCCTCGGCCATTTCCAGCCCCGGGAAAGGGTGGTTTTCCCGGGCTTCTCTGCCCACCTGGATCAGCCCCACCCCACCCCCTCTACTCTGCAGTTGGAGCTTCTGCTAAGAGAGACAGAAAGACACAAAGTGAGGTCGCTTAGGCCAGAGGTGGCTCCAAGAGTGCCTGGGAGTGGCCCTGTCCCCTGTGGTAGAAGGCAAGCAGGGGTCAGTGGGGGCTGGGGAGAGGACGCAAGCTTGAAGAGGGTTCGGAGGGGTGGTATGGAGGTGAGAGCAGTGCAGGGGCTTAGGAGAGCTGCTTTGCTTTGTGCCCCTGGTCGCTTCTCTGCACTCTCAGGAAATGAAGGATTTTTTTCCACCTGAGCCTGAGATGATCAGTGGCTCCAGTGGTTTGCAGCTGGGTGGGCTCCCCTCTCTCTCTCTCCCTCTAGGGTCCAGCAATGCCTGTGAGAAAACGTCATTCACCTTCCTGAGGCAGGAGCTGCCCGTGCGCCTGGCCAACATCATGAAAGAGATTAACCTGCTTCCCGACCGGGTGCTGAGCACGCCCTCGGTACAGCTGGTCCAGAGCTGGTGAGACCCCTGGCCACTCCCACTCCACTGCCCATGCTGCTGCCAGATGCCCCTGGGCTCAGAGATGGAGTCTTTGTGCTTCCAGCAGCCTTGAGGGAGGTGGGGACAGTGGGGAAGCACAGAGGCTCCAAGAGGCTAGAGAGTTGCCCAAGGTCAAGTGGAATGCGAGGCCAAGATAAAGCTCCTAGCCTCCACGCCTGTGGGCCATCCCTATACTTAACCACTCTCCTTCCTCTGGAAACCCAGGATCCCCCTGGGAAATCATTTTCTGCAGCCAAAACTCAAACCAAGCTCATGTCGCCATTCGCCACTGGCCCTGGTTCTGAAAAGCCAGCACCTACCGGGTAATGTTTATCTGGGGCAACATTGTAGGGCCAGGGAAACAGAAAGAAACGAATTTTCAAATTATGTAATCCAAGCTACAAGTCAGACTGTTTTGGATGTTGGGAAACACTCAGACCCAGGCCTAGTACCTACCCCCAAGAACTTTGGAGGGGCAAGGCCCAAAAGTCGTAGCAGTAGCAGAGGGAAATCCTCAGCAAAGCTCACTCTAGAACTCTGTCCCAGGTTAAGTAACTGGATGGCATCAATCAACGGCCAGTCACGTGAAGAACAAACAGGAGTTTGTAAGGGGCACGAAAGTGGCTAATCATTGTTGGTCTTTGGTGGTACCTGTGCAGAAGCCCTTTGCTGGCTCTTCTGGCAATGGTGTGATGTGGCTGTGGATCCCTGTTGGATTCAGGAGCATGGGTCCACACCTGCTGTGAGCCCAGGGCCATGCTGGGTACGGGAAACAGCAGCAGCAACTGCCCTCAGGGAGCCTGCGATCTGGTAGGGAGCAGAGTGGGTAAGTTAAGAGCTCCATAGGCAGTGGTGGGAGCAATGAGCTGCTGAAGAAGAGTTACTTTTACTTCAGAACCAAAATATTAAAAAATTTTTTTAACGTTGGTTCATTTTTGAGAGACAGAGAGAAGGGGCAGAGAGAGGGAGGCACAGAATCCGGAGCAGGCTCCAGGCTCCGAGCTGTCAGCACAGAGCCGGACGCGGGGCTCGAACTCCCGCACCGTGAGATCATGACCTGAGCCGAAGTCGGACGCTCAACCGACTGAGCCATCCAGGCGCCCCCCAAGAACCAAAATACTATTCAAAAGTAACATCGGTTAGGTTTTTCTCCTCATTGTAGAAGTATAACATGCCCACTTTGACATTTGGAAAACACGGAAAAGCAGCTAGAAGAGAATGCCAGCCACTACCCTCCACCCCGTAACCAAACACTGGTAGCGTTTCATAAGGTTTTATTGGGGCCTTTCCAGCATTTTTGCTACGTGTGGATAGGCACACGCAGGACTTTCTCCAATTTAATGAGACGCAGTAAGGAAAGCGTTTTGTGCACAAGGCCAGGCACATAGAAGGTGCACACTGAGTCAGAAAGTTGTGGGGAAGGGGCACCTGCCTGGGCGGCTCAGTGTATTGGGCGACTCTTGATTTCGGCTCAGGTCATGATCTCGGTTCAGGGGTTTCGGCCCCGCACACGCCTCTGCGCTGGTGGCACAGAGCCTACTTGGGATTCTCGCTTTCCCTCTCTCTTTCTGCCCCTCTCCCTCGCATGCACATGCTCTCTCTCTCTCTCTCAAAATTAACAAACGTTTAGAAAAAGAAGCAGAAAGTTGTGGGGAAGTTGAAATGGACGCATAGCGGAGGCAATACATCCCTGGGCCTTATAGGGTGCCTCCGTGAGCCTTGAACTAGAAGGAACGGAAGGGCATTCCAGGCCTTGGAACTGCCAGTGCCAAGGTGTAGAGGCAGGCCTCTGAGACCTCACTCTGTGCCTATAGTGCTTTGGATACAAGCTGTGAAGGGGGGGGGGGGGGAGGGCGGAAACTGGTCTTCCTATAGCCCCACCAGGTCACCCCTTGCTGGGCCCTGTCCCTCTGAGGTGCAGGACATCTGAGCCAGCCAGTATTTCCCACCATGGGGCGTGTGGAAGTCGCAGGGAGGAGACAGAAGGTGCCATCTGGTCCCCCGCTCCTCCTCCGGCTCTGCCCGGCTGACTGGCTGACTGCCTCTCCAGCAGGTCCCTGACTCCAAGACAGGCCCTCTCGGGCCCCTCCCGGGACGCCGTGTTCCTAGGAGAGCCGGAGGATGTCTGTCAGGGTGTAGGGGAGCAGGGAGCTGCTGAACTGCCCGTGACGCCCCCAGGCTCCTGCACAGGCCATTCCTGAAAATGAATTGCACATGGGTGGACTTGGCCTGGCTTTTCTTCCCCGAAAGCTTGGAAGTGGCGTCCAGCAACAGAAGGTGGGAGCGGAGTTAGACAAGAGAGAGCCCCTCCCGGTGGATGATTTAACTCACAGGAGAGCAGGCAACGGGACTGCTAGAGTGAGTGTCCTGGTGCACTGAAGAGAAGCCTGCTGAGGTTTCTTTTCCAGAGAACGGGCATCGGCCGCAGCAAGAGAAGCTGAAGTGTGAGGGGAGGAAGGACTTTCCGATGGGGACGAGGTGGCTGCCTGTGAGAGAGTGCATACCTCCTCCAGGAGCTTGGACGCAGAGGTGGAGGTGGGCAGGGTTCGCACGACAGCAGGGGGACAACATACCAAGGAGCCTGGCAGGAGGGCCACTCTACTCAGAGTCTGATGGGTAGGGAGGAAATGCCATCCCTTGGGAAATGGGAGAGGCCTGTGCAAATGCGATCAGAGGCAGTGGTGCTAAGATGTGGCGATAGCTAGCGAGTTTCTCAGCTGCCGAGAGAGTCTAGGCAAGGGTGGAGGGTCAATGTGGACAAGCTGAGCATTCCTGGTTTTAAATAAACCTGATAAATTGTTTCAACCAGACAGACCTGGTGCAGAGGGCGCCTGTTTTGGAAGCGACTGGAAGAGAGTGGAAGAGAGTAGAAAGCCCTGGTCGTTGGTGTCGGTGTCAGCACACTTGACTTTGAGGCTTGGCTTTGCTGCTTGCTGGACCCTTCATCCTTGGCAAGCCTCTGGCCTCCCTGAGCCTTGGCTTCCTCCCCCGTAAAATGGGGATCCATCCTGTTTCTAAGGGCATATGCCACCATTAGATGCCCTGAGCTCCGGGGCGGCAGTCCCTCCAGGCCAAAGATCTGTGACTGTGGCCGAGGTTCTCTTAGACAATGTGGTAATAATAGCGATGGCAATGACCAAAGCAAACAGACCCGGAGGGCCTGCTGTGCATCAGGAACTAGGCATGTCCGTGTATTCCCGCACTTAGCGCTCCCGACCGCCCGAGGAAGGAGGCCTTGTTTTTATCCCCATTTCATAGATGAGCAGGCTGAGGTTCAGAGAGGTGAAGACACAGGTGTGAGATCACTCAGGCTGCTGGTGAGAGAGCCGGGACTCCAGCGGCGGCCTTGTGACCTGGTGGCTGCGTTCATCAGGGGAGGGGAAGAGTGCTGTGTTTGGCGGGGGGGGAGTGGGCAGCGACGTGGATCAGAGGTTTCCACACTCACGAAGCGAGTCCTCCACAGACAGTAGGGCTCCCCTTATCGGAACGTGTGCCGCCTAGGGATGCTGAGCACGGAGCAGGAGAGAAAGCCAGCCCAAGGAGGAGGGCGTGGCGCTGGTAGGCGTGTGCTTCCAGAAGGTAGGGGGTTAAGTGAGGTTAAGAATCTCCTGCCACCAAGGGGTGGCAGGGAAAGGGGCCGGGGGCCGTATGGCCAGCACCTTCTCATGAACCTCCCTTGCCCGTCAGTGAGGTCTAGACCCCGCACCCCAACCCTACAGGAACCACGGCCCTTGAGAACCCAGGGCCCGCCGTACCCCAGGCATGGGGCTGGGGCTGGGGCCAAATCGTCACCGACCCCCTCACCCGCTCCTTCCAGGATCAGAGTTGAGACTGAGAACCTCAGAGTGCTATTGCCGTGAACCCCACTTTATAGCCGGGGACCTGAGCGGCTCAGCGGCTTCTGTAGCCCCAGGACCCGAGTCTGCCTAGCTCAGGGACTGCACCCAGCACCCCTCCACAGAGCAGCTTCCATCTGGACGATGCAGGACAGGTCTGTCACCTCCCCCTCCTCAAATGGCCACGGCCTCGTTCACACTTCTTATTCCCAGCGGCTGTGGACGTTACTGCATGGTGTGCACTCACCCCCTCCACCTCGCCACATGTTCCGCCACCCCCACTCCTCCCCCGCCTCCCAAATCCAGGGCTCTGGGCAGGCTAGAAGGCCCCAGAAGGCAGGCGCCCCGGGGCCTGATTTGCTGAGGTCGGCAGGCCCAGGCCTTCCCTAGGGCAGCTGTGTCGGGCCCCCGCTACCGGCTGGGCCTGCTCTGTCCGGCCATGGGTTTGGGGGGACGGATAAACTTAGAAGTGAAGTGGAATGCCTGTCATTGCACCACCGCTTTCGGGCCTCCCGGGTCTGAGCCCAGTTCTTTCTCCGGCCCTCGGAGTGGGGGGCAGCGCGGGAGCCAGCGAGCCTCACTCCTTCCCCGGTGCCTCTCCCTTTAGGATCCGATCGTGACATCCGGTGCAGCAGACCTTGCAAGGCTTCAGGCGGGGGCCGGGGTCCTCTGGGAAAATCCTTCCCATCCTCTCCTCTCCCCTCCTGAGAGTCCACCTGGGAGGACTACTCCCCGGAAGGAAAGGCCCTGCGAGGCAGGCCGGCAGGGGTTCTAACCCAGGGGTTCTGGGCTCCACTCCCCAGCTGGTTTCCTCCCCCTCCTCTCTTCTACCTACCCCAGCCTTGCACCCTTGCAGGTGTTCTCCCCAGATCCCGCCCTCCCAGAATCCTGAGCGTGAAGCTTATCCTGGGCATGGCGGTGAGGGGGCGGAACAGGGATCTGGCGGCACACAGCCTGCGAGAGAGAGAGAGAGAGAGAGAGAGAGAGAGAGGCCCTGCTCTGCACGGTAGCCCCCTCATCTGTGGAATGGGTGCAGCAGGAGCACCTAGCTCCCTGGTTAACGCGGAGGCTAACGTAGGGGAGCAGGCAAGCACAGGGCCGAGCCCTGTCCGAGCCTGGCCCCCTGGAAATGCCGGCCACCATCACATTGGCCCCAGCACTGTGAGGACCAGTGTAGGTGGCGGGCAGCTGGCCGCACGGTGCAGACTTGGAGTCAGACAGATTTGAAGCCCAGCGCGACATTTAAACCTCCACTCGTGACAAGGACGCACATCTAGAGAGTGCTCACTGTGTGCTAGGCACTGTGCCAATGGTCACGTTCCACCCTCACTGAAAGGTAGCAATAGCAGTAGGTACAAGACCCTCCGTTTTCCTGAGGCGGAAACTCGGGCCCAGAGAGGCTGCACGACTTACACGGGCAACACAGCCACGAAGCGGGAAAGCCGGGACGGCGACTCAGTGGAGCCAGCCCCCAAGCCAGCTCTCCCACTCTCTCCTCCGCTGTCTGAAGCAAGAGAGGGAAGACAGCGGTTGGTAGGTGAAGGGGGAAGGGTATTCTGCACAGAGGGACCCGCGGGGACACGGAGGTGAGCGTTTTGAGCAGACGGCACTACGGGGTGGCAAGAGTGCCGGAGGCTTGAGTCTTCGCTTACACCACCTCCCAGCTGTACGGCTGCTTCAGGCCTCAGTTGAGGAACCTGTGAAACGGGGCTAATTCCTGCTCGTCATACCTGTCAAGGTCAAAGCACTGTGTACAAAGGAACGCTCCTGCTGCGGAGGGGCCTCTCCTAGAGACTGTTGGGCCCCACAGCCCTCTGCCCCAGGCAGCCCCTTCCTGCTGGCTAGAAGTGTTTCTCCCGGAGAGAGGCTCCGCTTGGTGGCCTTCCCCAGGAGAACAGCCTGTGGACTGGGCATGTCAGCCGGGGCACAACGGGGGTCCCGGCTCACAGGGGCTCTAGGTTGACACAGGCTCTGGGTTGATACCCTCTGCTGCCACGGGTGGGCCTGACTCCCTTTTACCGGCCGGTCCCCTGCTGCCCCGAGTTCAGGACTTCCTAACACTCCCCCGGTTACCTAGCTCTTTTGTAGATCCTGAGGAAACTGGCCTCCCAACGAGGCCTGCGGTTGGGAGCAGCAGGCGGCCACGTACCCCTGTCGGGCCTTTGGAGTGGAGTGAGCTTTCCTGACTCGCTGGGGGCTCCAGCCCCACCCATGGCCAGGGCCGGGCCTGCCTGCCCCACTCCTGTGTCCTTCCCACCTGCCCTTCAAAATCCACTCCCCTGGGCAGACTGCACGGCTCCTGTGCCCAGCCCAGAGTGTTAGGCTATAATCCTCACTGAGCCTGGGCTCCGACATGCCCCGGGCTGGCCAGCCGTGCCTCGTGGGATAAAACAGCAACCCGAAAGGTCAGATGTTACAGTCGGTTTCCGTGAAGGGGGCTCAGGGAGGTTAAGTGACTTGCTCCAGCCTCCTCTCACTGCAGAATCTTGGTCCGTAATCCATGAGGCCCCGGGGTTGGGATGATGTCCAGTGCCCTCCTGAGACTGCCATTCTTAGATCCCAAAGCAAAGGTGCTATATGGGGGACCAGCAAATGAGAGATGTTCTTGCATAACTTACTGTGTTGTCAGGGAGATCTGCATACAGATGAAACGCATTGGGAAAAAGTGTGGTGCGGCCTGTCGACCAGTGCCGTCCGGGTGCCGCCCACCGTAGGGGCGGGGCAGGCATGGGGCCAGCTGTCAGGTGGGAAGGGGGGCCGGGCCTGGCCTGGAGCTGAGGCCATGTCCCCCCTCCCCCACTACACACAGGTATGTCCAAAGTCTCCTGGACATCATGGAGTTCCTGGACAAAGACCCCGAGGACCATCGTACCCTGAGCCAGTGAGTGAGGGCCTCCACTGGGGGCAGGAGGGCAGGTGCAGGCGAGGGGGCTCGGGGTCACAGCCCAGATGCAGAAATGCCAGGAGGATGGAAGAGATGACCTCTGTCCTCAAGGCTATCTAGTCTGAGGGGGGAGTTGGCCCCTGGCCTCGGTGTCCCTGAGTCTGATTGGGGGATCTGAGCCCCTGCCCGTGAGGAGTTCCCAGCTGTCAGACAGGCAGTGGGAGATTCAGGGCAGGCTTGGGAAGCAGTGGGGAAGGCACCGTGTGTCCGTCAGGTTGGGAAGGGTCGAGTGAATGAAGACTCGGGGAGAGGACGTCAGAGGTGGGGAGGAGCCCGAGGGGGCCCAGAATTGGGACAGGGCGGGGGGCCGACAGCCGCCGTGCCCTACAGGTTCACCGATGCCCTGATCACCATCCGGAACCGCCACAACGACGTGGTGCCCACCATGGCGCAGGGTGTGCTGGAGTACAAGGACACCTACGGCGACGACCCGGTCTCCAACCAGAACATCCAGTACTTTCTGGACCGCTTCTACCTCAGCCGCATCTCCATCCGCATGCTCATCAACCAGCACAGTGAGCAGGGGCTGGGGGAGGTGGCTCAGGACCCGAAAGAGGGATCCTGGCTCCACGGCGGAGAAGGAACACGGCAGCAACGAGGCGTGTTGTTCTCCGTGTTTGTAGGATGCAAAATCATGTTCCCTCCCTACACACTGTCCCGTGTGGTATTCGTCGAAACCCTCTAGTACTTTCGGCAACAGTTTGCTGTTCCGAGTCCCCCAGTCCCAAAGTATTCACTGTGATTGTTGAGAGATTGTAACCAGTTGAAAATCAAATGAGTTCCTCATGCTCAGATTATTTCTGATGCAGGACGGGGAAAATCATTTTTGTAAGTGGTTTAGCAGAAGGAGGAAGAAATGTAATGTGGGCTGTGTGGGGGAGGAGGCTCTCTGAGCAGACTTCAGGTCTGCAAACAGTCCAGACGGGGAGGAGGTGGGGGGGGAGAGGTGTTAAGCATAGGGGTGGAGTCAGAGAGCCCTGGGGGCAGGAGGGGAGCCCCACGGACAGCACCCTTCCTTCCTGCCTACAGCCCTGATTTTTGACGGCAGCACCAACCCGGCCCACCCCAAACACATTGGCAGCATCGACCCCAACTGCAACGTCTCCGAGGTGGTGAAGGGTAAGCCGTGCCCGCCGTGCTGACCCACACGGAGGAGCCCCAGAGACCCCCTTCAGGCCACCTGGCCCGAGGCTGAGCCATTCCTCGGCGGGTGGGGGCCTCGTCCCCTTGG